AGCTGCGTAGAAAAATATCGCATTTGGCTTCCGTTCCAAGAAAAGAGTTACATCATGGAAAAATTTTCATACACCCTGACTTAAAAGACTGCACACATGTATTTGTACGGGTTGACAAGGTGTCCAAACCACTTACTCAACCATACATGGGTCCCTTCAAAGTAATTAACAAGACAGAGAAATATTTTAAAATTATGCAATCGGATACGCCGAAAGTTGTAAGCATCGATCGGCTAAAGCCAGCGTATACGATCATATCACAAGAATGCACAGATGCTCCTAATAAGGGAACTCCGAACGTAAGCAGTAATAGCAAGGTGTCGAGATTCGGACGAGTAATTAAACCTGTTGTTCGTTTCGCTGTGTAAATACGTGTGTGTGACAGTCAATTAACTGCTAAGATGGGTACACCGCAGAGCAAAAAAGTTGAAGAGGTGATCATCGCGCAGAGCGGCGCCGGGAATAGCGCCGCCACGGCGCAGAGCGAGACTCACTTACCGGTGCATGTGCGGCAGGAGACATACCTCCTCATAATAATTACATGCATCCTGCTGGCCATACTGTACGTAGTGTGGCGCTACTGTAAGACGGGGTACGCCAGGTACCTGCGGCGGGAGCTGATGGAGCTGCCGCGGCTGGAGCTGCGCGCGGGCGGCGCGAGGTGCCGGGCTTCGACAGCCGCCCCCCACAGCACGTTATAGTGTAGTGATAAAGTGATAGTGTGGTAAAAGTAAAAAAAGAATAGTGCGTCATACGGCATTATAGATAGTAATATTTTTCATGTAACAATTTTTTTTTCTACATTTGTTTTTTTATAAAGGGGATAAAATAAATACATTTAATTTTATAGCATATAGCTATTATTTTTTTATAAAGGGGGGTGTACTGTGCCTACATTATGTTTAATCAATATTTAAGCAGTATCAATTTGTGTATCATAATAAACACACGTATATCGGGCTCCTGAAGTTTTATTGATACTCTCCAATTAGTACGCAACCATACGTGTACGTGTACAAAACTGTATGAGAATGGTATGGTATTGATAGATGTGATGACACTAAGGTTGTGTTCAAATATAATAGCCGATTACAAATACTCGTAGTTAAGTTAATAAATATTAACTTAACTACGAGTATTTGTAATCGGCTAGATCAACCGATGAACAACTATGGTTGTGTTAATTTTTTTCTCTCTTGAAGAATGTTGAGGTTTTGGTATGGATGTGTGAAAGTTGAAGACAGACTACGGCAAAGAAAGGAATATAATAAGTATGGATTTTAAATGTTGTAATATATGTTGTATATGTAGAATGATTTATGTGATGTTTAAAAATTATTAAAAACTATGCAATTTTAATATCAAAATTTTGTTAGTTATTGGAATAAAAGAATTAGGCTATCGGATATTACCTTAGCCAATGTTTAGGGCCCAAACTCTGGTTATGTTAATAAACCGATATGCTTAGTTGAAAGGGAGATGGAATGAGATTGAATGAATATAAAAGTATCCGATACAGACAAAGATTTACGAAGATAATAAAAAAGATGACCATGAGAAATAAATGATGGAGAGATACGGGAACGTTCATCACTGATATAGCATATAGTCCTCGAGCAGGGTATGTTTCCGTGATTGGACGATGAAATCGGAGTAACGGGTACTAGGGAACAACGCCTTCAGTACAAGTGATGTAACTGAGTTTACTCATATTAATACTGTTAGGGACCAGAGAAATCTTAAATTTGTTACCCTTATTAATGGTACATTGAGGTCACATCCTTCGTTGGATCATGGTGCGAACTTAGTTTTCCTCTGTGACAATTGTTGGAGTCCTTTTAAAGTGACTTAAAAAAACATAGACCTCAAGGTTGTGCGCACAACCCAAGATAAATTTTACTTTGATATAGAAAAAAAGTTTATGTACCAATAAAGTGAAATGAATGTTACGAAAATGTAATATATTACCCAAATAAATGGGGGCCCCATATTTATAAAGTACCCGCGTGATAAATATCACGAAATAAAATATAAATGAAATGAATTAATACTCCGATTCCCGGTATCTAATAAATAAATAAATATATAAGTGAATAGAGAGAAAGAGAGCTAGCTAAAGGTCAAAAATATTTAGAAGAAATGAAAGAAAGTACGTACAAGAATTATGGAAAACGGGCCTATTAATAAAATACAGGATAATAAGGAGATCTCCGAGCAAATCAAAAAGTTTGTAGTTATTTTGCATTTCTGTATTAGAACTATTAATGCTACCTAAAATGCGACTAACAAGTTACACATGTAATAAATATAGGGATCGATTTACACAACTACGCGAAAATGTGTTGTGTGTGTATGTATTGTGCGCGTAATTGTTTAACCACATTTGTATACGAATTTACGAGATTTTTTTTTTCATATTTAGACACATTAATTCACATTTACAATAACTCCACTTGTATTTCTTTCTGTTATATGTTTTTTATGTAAAATTTGTACATTTTAAACTATATTTGGTTTATATTTTGCTTATAAAATAAAGTCCAGAGTCTATCGATACACTAATAATGATATGTAATAATAATATGTAATAGTATTCTTTTTACGTTTTTTCTTTATAAAAGACAACGGAACCTAAAATTATGTTATCTGTTTGAAATAAACTTGTCTTTTAAATGTTAATAAATATTTCGTAAAACAAACTTGAGCTGTGTACCTAGAGTGTTGAGAGTGTACTTTTTTTATATAAATTTCATGTCATGAAAAAATGTACTTTCGAAATTATAAATAACTTAATTAATTATTTTTTGTTAATGTACCTATGTAAAAGTATAATACTTTTACAAAATGAATTTAAAATTGAATGTAACAATCTATATTTAGAGGTACAAACTAGGTATTGGGAAAGTTAAATTCATTTTATTTACGATATCATTTTAATGCATGGTTAAAACTACATACAACATAATCGAAAAAAAAACATTCCCATGAACATACTTAGAAATTAAAACAAAGGTGTCACAAACCGCTTACGCGGCCGTGATTGTAAGTTGTATTTGATCCCTGTTGTTATGTTAAATAATTATGATTATGTTGCACTAGAACCGCCGTGTGACAAAACATGTAATATTAAACGACTATCATTTTTTGCCAACTAACGGTCACGCGCGTATAGGCGAATAATAAACAATACAAAGAAAAGGTTCTTTGGACCAGAGTTAGACTATATAATATACATAATTAGTAACATCCTACTAATTATGTAAATCGATGAGACAAGTGTTTGCGATATAAACACTTAAATAAATATATAACGGAACCAATGGTTATAACCGATTTATGGGATATTCCACTTTTCATAGAGTTTATTTAGATTTAGTAGGGCCCTTATGTAAGCATAGTGCTAGTAATATTTATATCCTCAAACACTCACAGTGTGATTTAAATAAGTATGCTGAAGTTTGTCCACTTAAAAGTAAGGATACTATTTCAATGGCATTAGCTTCTTATAGATTTGTTAAGATTTAAAATGAATAATATAGTTTAAGTTTAAGAATATAAAAAAAATTGTAAACACCTTATAACATTTTTGATAACTATAATTTTGTTTTAAAAACTGTATTTTCAGTCTAGTGAATTAATAGTTATATAATATGAAAATTTTAAAAGTTATGCAGTAATGATAGGCGAACTAAAATTATTTCACAACAAAAACTTAAAGATTCAATACAATTACGTAAGGAATTTGATGATTGTTTAAAAAATTTAAATACAGAGATAGAAAGTTATATTTTATTAAATTACGGTGTTTACGATATTTTATTTTTATTTTATTATGTTATAAATATAATATAGTAGGTATACGAATTTTAATATTTTAAAATAATGTACAATTTTTTGATTTTTACACCAAGTAGTAATTCATTGAAAAAAAATTTTTGTAATTAAATTTTTTTCTTTTTGCCGATGGGCGTGTAGTGTATGATCATGTAGCTATATATATATATATATATATATATATATATATATATATATATATATATATATATATATATATATATATATATATATATATATAGAGATGGGCCGACTAGTCGGCATCATTTACAGTCGGTGAATAGTCGGCGACTAATCGGCAAAATATGCCGATTATAATCGGTGGTTAGCAAAAAATTAAACCAACATTTATTCCTAATAATTGTTTTTTATTTTACTTTTTTCATGAATCTGCTGTGATAGCAGTTTTTATGATAATTACCTAGCTGCACTTTATTATATTAATTATTAATCTGTTACCATATTATAAGGAATTTAAGAATCAGTCAGTAATTAAATATCTTCACTCAAGGACACATACATAACAAATAAAACAAAATAATATATGTAGGTACCTTAATAACATTTTCAAGGTATCATAGAGCCATAGTATTACTTTAAGTTTAGTTAGTCTATATTCAAGAATAATAAAATATAAAAAATATTGTGATGGAATCATTGTACAATACCTATTATAATAAATTGGCATTATGACAAGATGGTTTTGTTTTTAATTAGTGGCAAGTTATGATGCAAAAATGTCAATGTTTCGGCGCGATCTGGAAGTAAGCGGTTCCTTTTTGTCTCATATACATTGCCAGCTTCCGAAAAGAGACGCTCGCTATAAACTGTGCTGGCGGGACAACACAGATATACTTTAGCTATACGAGCCATTTCAGGATATCTAGAACTGTTCTCATGCCACTACTTAAATGGATCTCCAGTTCGCTGTAAAACTGGCAATGTGCAGTAAGAATGAAGTTCGTGAGCTGAACTAGATGTTTCGTCGTCAATATTGTGCACTTTTCGCGTAACCATTTCTTGGTAAACTCCCCAAAAGTTGCGATGAGCTGTCATTTCGGAGTTAGGATTTTGGATATTGGTCTCATCGTTATTTAGGTCGCTGTCATCATCATCACTCATACCATTCTTCAAGGCTTCCAGCAAAAACTGTGATCTTACTGATACTATATTTTCATTATCAAAAAACTGTAGTTTGTACCTTGGATCGAGCAAAGTTGCAAGTAAAACAATTTATTCTGTTCCAAATTTCTGAATCTAGTTTTCAAGCCCTTTTGCAATGCAGTTTTCATTTCCATTAATTGCTCATTTCCGTCTTCGTCTGTATAGTTTTCCAGATATTTTTCCAGTATTTTTAGGTGAGGAATAACTTCAGATATCGAGGAGCAACTTGAACTAATTATTTTCGTCACCTCTTCAAACGGTTTTAGTAGCGTAATGCATTTTTCGAGTAACTTCCACTCCTCGGTCGATAAATTCTCAAAATTAACTGCATTTTCTGTCACATACAAAGAAACGGATCGTTTTTGCTCTAACAGACGAAACATCATGTAATAAGAAGAGTTCCACCTTGTGGAAACATCTTGAACAAGAAGATGTAAAGGTAAATTAAGCTCTTTTTGAATAGCACTTAGTTTTTGTTGAGCTGGTGCTGAGTGATTGAAATGCGTAACGATACGCCTCGATTTTTGAAGAATTTGTGCTATATAGTCAATTTTAAGCGAGTCGTGGATTGCCAATTGCATAGTATGAATAAAACATGGAACTGCTTTGAAAATCGATTCATCGATAGCCTTCGTAATGTTCCTCCCATTATCTCGCACAACAGCGTGTATTTTGGCTGCACTTATATTCCATGAGGCAGGAATTTCTTCGAGACACACTTTTATACTATGTGCATCGTGAGACATAGGAAAATGTTTCATCTGGAGTACTGCGTGACGAAATTTCATATCGTTATCCAACCAGTGTGCTGTAAAGCTTAAAAAACTTTCCTTATTGTTTGTATTTGTCCACAAATCTGTAGTTACGGATAGCGCGGTAGCGCTGAGCACTCCGTATCGTATTTCAGTTTTAGTTTTCTCATAAATGTTGGGAATGATATTTTCTGACAAATACTTTCTACTAGGAAGTACATATTTTGGTTTAAGTTTCTTCATTAGACTGATAAAACCACTGTTTTCCACAATTGATAGAGGTTGGTTATCCAAGGCAATCATCTCTCCTATAGCAACACTTATTTCTCTTGATCGGGAGTCCTGAAGCGACCACTGGACCATTACACTATCTTGAATAGTTTGTTGTATGTAAACTTCGCCTCTCGCTGAAGTTGACGGAACTGGCGTCGGTGAAAAGGGCTCAGGTTGCGATTGAAAACGTGAAGACAAATGGACTTCATTCGAACTACTTTTAATAGAACCTGCCAATTGAGGCATCACCCCGTTGTGCTTATATTTTATGTGATTAGTCATACTTGTAGTATTCGCTTTTCTACCTTGACCACCGCGTGAAATTATTCCCTGGCACTGGTTACATTTCACTTTTGTCGGTTCTCCTTCAACATCATCGAAGAATGTCCACACTCGCGATTTCTTTTTCGACATTTTAAGACCCCACACACAGTTCTTTTATTTATTTTAACTAGGCGACACCAGCAGAGCGAATATACACAAAACGATTAAAAAGAAAACAAAACACGTCAAAGCTCAAAGCTTACATTACACTACAAATCACAATTTGCTCGGTGGCCGCACGATGGCTCTTATGCATGCTTAAGGGTGCCGAGTGATGACGGGTGACGACATAGCCCGAATACCTCCGAAAAGCTACGCCGACTAGTCGGCCGACTGATCGGCGATTTGAAAACCGATTAGTCGGCTAGTCGGCTAGTCGGCAAATACCATAGTCGGCCCATCTCTAATATATATATATATATATATATATATATATATATATATATATATATATATATATATATATATATATATATATATATAGCTACATGAGTTTTATACCAAGTAGTAATACATTACATTATATTACATTACATTTTACACTAAGTAGTAATTCATTGAAAAAAACATTTTTGTAATTAAATTTTTTTTCTTTTTGCCGATGGGCGTGTAGTGTGTGTGTAGTGTATGCTCATGTAGCTATATATATATATATATATATATATATATATATATATATATATATATATATATATATATATATATATATATATATGATAGCTTAATAAACATTCGGGCAGTAATAAACCTACATTCAAGACCAGTAGACGCATTATTTATTCCCCGAACCTCCCGACATTACAGTCTTATGGCTCAAGATTAAATCCTTAAAAGTTGAAAAAGGATCAACTGATACATGGTACTGTCAGTATGATCATTCTTCGGACTACAAAAGGGAGAATGTAGTTGGCAGAGGTCGCAGAACAATTACTACTCCCGTATTGTTGAACCCCGCTTATTCTAATCTACTGCCAATTTCTAAGGCTAAGAAAGCAGACTTAGTCAAACTGGTGGCCACATACCAGAAGAGCTACATTTGTGGTACAATAGCTTACCCTCAACTGAACTTATAGGACCAGTGCATTTGCTAGAACCAGATAAAAATGAAACTTACGATGAAAATTGATTATTATGATATTTAATGATGATAATAAAATTGATTGTAAAATAGACTTATCTTATTTCATATTATACTAAATTAATATTTTTTTTAAAAGTACATAATTAAATTTGTTATCATTATCTCCTCTGTATCACCTAAAGAAGTCTTTCTCAAAGTGGGCGATAAAGCCCCCTTGTGGGCGTTGGAGACCTAGAGGGGGGCGTTAAGGGGCCTAGAAAAAAATGGGGGGCGTTGGCGTGGTTTAGAAGGGCGATGGTTGATTCGTAATTTCATTTAGATACCTTATATTTTAAAATTTACTAAAATTTAAAAAAAAACATAATCAAATCTTTCCTTAAGAAAGAAAGACCATTCAATTTAAAATATAAATAATATTAGTTCTTTTTTAAATTTTATACATAGTTTGTACTTTGTTCATGCATAGTATTGTATGAAAATATCTTTTTCTTTCGCTCAAGCAAACCCAAACGGCCACAAAGCCACCGAAGGTATGCAATTGCTGATATGTCATACAATCTTATAAATATAAATTTAAAAATATTAAAAATATAAATTTTATGGAAAAAAAGTATGATAATTAAAAATATTTTTTAATTACTAATTTGAACTGGCTAATACTTGGGAAACCACGATGTGTACTCTACATATATGAAAATGAAGGATGCGCGCATACTGTACTCTTGATTTGGGCGCTGGCAGAATAACAGCATTGTAGGCAACTGCAACATTTATGCTGAGCTAGAGCCCATTCATAACTACACTATGTAATTTTGGTTATTTCTGTCTGTACTGATCACTGTATCTTTATTAGTGGTAATGAATAAATGTTTTATTACTTTGGGGTATTATTATTATTTTGGGGTATCTATATAGTTTTCTCATCTGGTTGGGTTCCACAAATATATTATTATTATTATTTATCTATCTAGCAGTAGTATGCCTTCTGTGTGCTTTGTTAAACATGTCCTCAACAGCACTGAATATGAAATTGAAGAGTGGAGACAGATCAAGATTGGTGTATTTTTATAAAACTGCTAAAAACAACAAAACTATATCTTAGGCTTGCCCTAGTTTGGAGCCCTAGTTTCGCCACTGGCTCTACCACATAGAGAAGTTAAAACGTGGTTGCACTAATCTCAACAATGATCTGCATGAGGAATGGCCTTCTACGGCAAAGACTGAAGATAACATCAGTGTTGTGCGGCGTATGATAGAGACTGACAAAAGAATGACTTATCAGCAGATTCAGCAAGCTTAGACATTGGTATGAGACAAGTGCATAAAGTCCTCCATGAACATTTAGCGATCAGGAATTTTTTTTAGCGCTGAAAAATGATTGATTTTTAAAGAAATAAGTCTGATAATCTCTGACCTGAACTGAAAGCGGAAAAATTAATTAATTACACTTTCCTTATTTACAGAGCTACTTAAAATTACATGTTTACAGAAAATTTCAATGCATAATATATAAAAAATACTAATCCTTAATTATCTCCATTAGTCAATTATGCCATTTAATGAGTTTTACCTTTTAACCAAAGTTATTATAGTTCTCATAATGCATACTGCGGAATAGAACTAAGACTGCTGAATTTTATGACTATAAAAGAGCCAAAGATCGATCAACATAAATTCCTGTGTTGATTTTTGTTAGGTTTATCATATTAGGCAGAGTTCATTTATATACTTCTTCCCCTAAAAAGAAGTTATTTCTTGTTCAAAATATGAACATCAATAAAACTGATTTAAAATATTTTCAAGTTTAAATTCTACCCCAATTGCATATAAACTCAAATTTATTTTTCACAATAGTGCCATGTGTGTCATTACATTGACAAAGTTTCATTGCTCATGTAATGGAGTATTAAATTTTTAGAATGAATGAACTATAACATAACGTACATACCAGTCGGAAAATTCTAGAAAAAGACAATATTTGGTGATTCTAACAAAAAGCCAGTGGCTTAAAAAGGCTGTCAATAATAATGACAATGATGAATACCAATTACTATACAATTCAATTTCAAAATTTCTCTTAAAAATCTTCAGCCTGTAACAAATCCACTGCTGAACATAAGCTTTGTCATAATATTTGTTAAAATAAAATAAAAGATATTGGTAATATATTTGTTGTTTACAATATACCTTTAGCCATGCTGGTTTCTGTGGTTGAGCTGTAAGCCGGGGCCACCAAGAAGCGTTCTGCTTCTGTAGAACCAATTCCACACGGTTCTCAAATACCCGAACTGTTGGGGCTTGATTGCCATCATCGTTCTATCAACAATTTTTTTTAAATTATTGTACACATATTATATTATTAACCTTTTCGCTGCGCAATTCTTTGAGATTTTTCCTGCTTGCATTTATTTTAGTAGTTTCATCTTTTTCGTGTTGAGCAGTTTACATTTATTACGTGGGTTTAAGAAATTAAGTATTGCGAGTTTATTATGTATTCTGGTGATAAATGTCGTGTAGAGCAGTTAACGCAGTAACATTGGTAGCCTTAAATACGTATTAAACACAAATAATCGTATAGAGCAGAAAATGAATAAACATAGTAAAAATAGTTTTAAACTGGTATACACAGTTTTTTGCGATATATGGGTTGTCCGGTTGACCGAGCTTTTCTCAGTATTTTTCGCTCGTTTTTTTTTTATTCGTGTGTTTTGGAAATTATATTTAGATACAAATTACATACTGATGAAATACGAATAATATTTTTTGATCTTAGCGACACAATAGAAAAAACTGAACTGGTTATTTGAATAAAAAATCATGAGTGCAATTAGTTTAATTTAAATTTTCGTGTTTTTAAAAAATACTAAAAAAGGGCTCGAAAAAATAGATTTTCTCAAATAAAAAAGGAACTTGAAAAAAAACTTGAAAAAAACCGGCCGTCTGTCTGGGCTCGAACCATGGTATTACGATTTTGGGACCACCCTATATACTAATTAAGCTATTCGTAATCATTAATAAACTGTCAAAATTTACCTTCTTATTCTAACGATATTGTAGCAGTTTTTCATTGCCTAAAAACACGGACAAAAAGACATTTTCTAAAAATAAATCCTAGCTAGGTCGATTTATTGCCCCCGAAACTCCCTGCACACAAAATTTTATGAAAATCGTTGGAGCCGTTTCCGATATTCCGATTATATATATATATATATATAAGAATTGCTCGTTTAAAGGTATAGGATTAATGAAGCTCAATATCTCAATGTACTCTGTAACTATTGAAAATAATACAAAAGAAGAGCATATTGTTGTATATTGATATACTTAGGGAGTGACAAGGGCGATACGTCAGACAAGCTAGTTAATTGCACACTGGTTTAATGAGACAGCGACCGTTCGGTGGGGGACGCAGCCTACACACCCTTACACACATAGACATACACAACACATATGGAAAAGGTTGATATTTAAAAAATTATTGTATCTCGTGAAAAGTACTTTGATGTGCCGCTATAGCTTGAAACATGTGATATGTCATCATAATTATAAAATCAGTAAGTTAAATATGTGTAGAACATTAAAATATTATTAGGTATGTTATTAATTATTAATTTTACTTTCGAATAGGATTTAAATGTTTATGAAAACCAATACTTTACTTAATATGTTTATAAATGTACTTTCTCTGAGGATTTATTTTCAACTTCATAAACCCAAAAATAATAACTAAATTATAATTATTAAAATTACAATATTTATTAGTAATATAATTACCGACTTAAGTGAAGAAAATAGATCCAAATTGAATCCATATTGGGTTTCTCCATGGGCTCCTATGCCTTTACCAGAAAATTTAATACTATTATCACTAATATTTACGTCAGGGTTGACGACATTCTTTAAGTCAATTTTTAATGTAATACACTTGTCTGTTTGAGCCCAATATACAAATGGACTAGGTACAATCATTCTTTTAAAAATTTATTTTCTCTTTTAATAAACCTATGAA